ATCTATCTACTACTACTACTACTACTACTACTACTAACTACTACTACCACTACTACTACTGCTACTAGATCTATTATACTACTATTTAAACAGGAAAATACTACTGAGAACCTGAAACAGTAAATATGTCACTCATATCATCAATCTACCACTACTGCTTCTACTACTACTACTTCTACTACTACTATTACTACTAACTACTACTGCTGCTATTACTACTGCTACAGTTCTATTATACTACTATTTAAACAAGAAAATCCTACTGAGCTACTGATGATCTACTGATCTACTACTGCTACTACTACTACTACTCCTTCTACTACTACTTCTACCACCACTACTACTACTACTACAACTGCTTCTACTACTACAACTACTACTACTACTTCTACTACTACTACTACTACTACTACTACTACTACTACTACTACTACTACTGCTTCTACTTCTACTACTACTACTACTACTACTGCTTCTACTACTACGACTACTACTGCTACTTCTACTACTACTACTACTACTACTACTACTACTACTACTACTACTAAATCTATTATACTACTATTTAAAAAGGAAAATACTATTGAGAACCTGAAACAACAGTAAGTACATTACTCATATCATCAATCTACCACTCCTGCTTCTACTACTACTTCTACTACTACTATTACTACTAACTACTACTACTGCTATTACTACTGCTACAGTTCTATTATACTACTATTTAAACAAGAAAATCCTACTATTGATGATCTACTGATCTACTACTACTACTACTACTACTACGACTACTTCTACTACTACTACTACTACTACTACTAGTACTACTACTATTTAAACAGGAAAATCCTATTGAGAACCTGAAACAACAGCAGGTCATCTATCTACAACTACTACTACTTCTAATACTACTACTCTACTACTATTACTAATACTACTACTACTACTACTACTACTTCTATTGCTACAAATACTACAGTTACTTCAATTATACTACCACTGCATCCACTGCTTGTTTCTATGTATTTATTTAACCTTTTTCAAACAGTAAAACCTGTTGTTATCACAGATTTCATTCTTGGTAAAGCTCCTAATGTTTCTTCAAAAGTGATGTTACAAAATGATTCACATATATTCTAATATAAAAATGCACTTGATGAACAACTGCACATGAATATACATGGGCTTCAGAGTGATAAGAAAATAGGGTTGCCATAGCGATTAACAATTTAAAACAAATAGTATGTCTTTTAATTGGGAAAAAAATCCTAAAAATGTTGCATTTATTAAGAAGCTTAAACCCATGTCTATGAACAGCTATGACTTCCTTGTACTGTCCACAATCCAACTAAGAAAAAATATGTGTATATAAATAGACATACTAACCCGCCAGCCGCCGCGTTCCAAACAGGAAGTGAACATGGTGACGCTTCCGGCTCCGTCGACGGTGGCTCCATTTCACTTTACATTGAAAAATTGTCACCCCTCTCTGTAACTGCTGCAGTGAGCCTCGTCATTTTAGTCTTAAAATGTTCATATTAACCCCTGATCCTGGTGTTTTTACCAGAGGTGGGACTTGCAAGGACTTGGGACTCGGGTCAGACTTGAGTCACTGTTTTTAGGACTTGAAACTTGACTTGAGAAAATAGATTAAAACTTGACTTGACTCGGACTTGGCCTGTGACTTGAGAAACACTTTTAAATCTGAATTCTTTTTATTCTGACCGTAATGATTCACTCTAAGATCTTGTTAAGACATTTAAAAAGGAAAAAAATAACTAAATTAATTTCTACAACTCTTATGTACTCTATAAATACTCATATATACTATAAATATACTATGATTTTTTAAAGTACAATTTATCTTAAAAGTCAAATAAATTGCAAAAATCTTGGTTCAAAGACTTGAAATGACTTGAAGCTCAAAGCAGAAGACTTGGATTTGACCTGGTTTTATGAGCCAGTGACTTGAGACTCGACTTTCCTGTATTTGACTTGGGACCTGACTCGGACTTGAGGTTAAAGACTTGAGACTTGCAAAACAAAGACTTTGTACGTAAATAAATTCCTATTCCAAATATGAAATTGACTCAAAAAAATTCGTCCTATAACCAATAGCCTCGGTGAGCCTCATTTGACTGGACGTGAACGCTATGGCTGATGTCACGCTCCCTCAGTCCACGTCCAAATCTGACACGGCCTTTTTTTATTAAGAGATCTGCCCCGGCTCTTCTCCTCTTTTCATTTGTACTCGATTAGCTTCAGTGGTTTCTGCATTATGATCATGCATTATTAACAGCAGCAGTGTGTTCCAATCAAGTTTGCATTTCAATCAGGTCACAACGGCCTCGTGTTACTACTAATAACCACAACACGACATGAAGTTTACTGAGTCACTTGTCAACATGATCTGTTTTTACCCAGAATGCATCAGGGGACACACTCTCTCACTTCTACTCTGGGCTAGTGGTTCGCGAGTGCACTGCAGATTCTGAGTCCAAAAGGAAATCTTGCCGGGTTTGTTCAATGTCCCGTATTGATACTTTACAGCTGACGTGTGAAGCTAACTGAAAGCACTGCTCTGTCAGAAGCTCAAGACTAAATTTCCGTTTTTTTTTTACACAATCTGACCAGAAAAAGTAGATTTGGTTGAAACTACAACTGCTGAGAGTCTCCCATAGGTAAAATGTTTAATTCCATTTTGTATTCTTTTCTTTTTCTGCAGTGTTTGCTGTAATGTGTGCATTGTGTCACCATGGTAACTACCGAGCATTCTAATATCGATACAACAAACATGTAAAGCACCCCCGGCATGATGTCACGGCGAAGTATCAATAGTTTGCCTCACAAATTACGCAAAAAAACATAATTTTCGTACATGTTTCTGTCATTTTAACATAACAGTAATGATAACTGATGGATGTTTTTTACACTGGATGCCCTCCCCGACGCGATGTACAAATTGTGTATTTTGTGTTCTATTCTTTTTTGTTCTAATGTCTGCATTGTGTCACCATGGTAACTACCGAACATTCCAATATCGATACAACAAACATGTAGAGCACCCCCGGCATGATGTCACGGCGAAGTTTCAATAGTTTGCCTCACAAATTACGCAAAAAAACATACTTTTCGTACATGTGTCTGTCATTTGAGGTAACGGTAATGATAACTGATGAATGTTTTTTTACACTGGATGCCCTCCCCCGACGCGATGTACAAATTGCGCATGGAGCGTGTGACGTTGGAGCGTCGTAACAAAGCCGGTACGTGACTAAATGATCTGGTCGGAGTAGTTTCAAACATTCTAGTTAGTTGGCGCAATCTGACTCCATTATTCAAAGTACCATTGCAAGTAGGGCCAAAAATACATCCCAAGCTTGTTTAAATTGATTTCTTTACCATTGCAAGATAGCGTCAGTGCCTTGGCAGAGGGTTCCTGTTTGCGTCACGTCACCTACGACCGTTTCGATTTGTAATCTGTGCGTTATTTTCAACGCAGTCGTTCAAAGTGTTGGGTTTCCTCGACAAAACACATAGTCTATTCTACACATTTTATAACCTGTGATACTAAAGACATGTATTTACTCTGTTAGTATGTTTATTTAGAAGAGTTTTAAGACACCATAGTATTATTTTTTGCTGTGTAACTTTCAAAACTGTAAAATTTCTGTTCCTCTTCCCACTGTGAGTAAGTCTACAAGTGACAAAAGCTCGACGTTGACAATACGAAATGATTTGAACTTATGATATTTATAGGTCCCAGCTTCTTGTTACAGGTGACATTTTGAGGATTTTCAGTATTCAGAATATTGTTTTAAGTTGCCTATTGCTATGGCGACAGTTCTGAAACCCACGGAGTTTACGTGTTCCTCATTCTTGTGTGGTCAATCCTTTGTAAATACCAAAATCTTACTTATGCATTATTTATGGTTTTGTCTGTGCTGTTGTATCAAAAAGGCGCACTGTGTAACTTTTCCGGTGGAGGGTTTGCCGTCTGCTTTCGCGGTGATGTCATTTCTTTGCCTGAAATGTTCCACAGCATGGCATTATACAAATATATCTTCTATTTATTCATTTACAGGTGGTTTTGTTTCTTAAAACTGCGCAAAGACGGCGGCAAACTTCTCCACTTTTTCTTCTGACCTGTTACTTGTCCTGGTGATGTGACCTGCGTGTCGCCATAGAAACAGTCAAATTAAATGTCATACTGTAAGAAAACAGTAACAGCTACGTGGAGTCAAGCAGGTCTACTAGAAAAGTTACGTAGTGCACTTTTAACTTTACTTTCAGACGACAATTACTTTTTTGACTTCTTTTACCACTACTTGGTACTTCTACTTGGGTAAGACTATTTTGAAGTAATGGTACTCACTTGGGTACAGTTTTTGTCTACCCAAATCTGAAATGTGGGTTGCCATGACTGAAAAAAATCCTCTTTTCTGTGCCTGTTTGCCACTAAATAACATCTGACGTTACATAAGTTTCTAATGATTGTATTTTAAGGGATCCTGTTCCCTGAAATTGAACATAGCACAACTGGCATTTTAATCTGTTGTGTGTACTACTACTTCATTTCTATAGTACTTTTTTAGTGTTGTAACCTATTGGATAAACTTCAGGTAACCCATTCACATTTGACTTTTTTTGTTTCTTGTTGCCATGGCACCGGTGTGTACAGTACGTCAATAAAGACTGGCAATAGCGTGTGACTGTTTGAGTGATCCAATATTTAAGCTTTGCAATACAAAATATATCTGATTTTTATTTTGAAATTTTTAAAAAGTGGTAGTTGAAATTTGCCGTGCTTATACGCTTTGCTTTAAAATTGTGGATATTTTTTTCTGACCTGAAATATACTGTAGACTTTGCAAAATTTTATATAAATTGGTATTGTTTCATGTGAATAAAGTATTTCTAGAGCAATTTTAGCATGCTAATTGTAATATATAGTCCTGTTTTTCAGCTGTTCATAATAATATTGCATTGGGGCTGATACATAACACAGCGGACAGTGATTTTATTTATTTTTCCAACGTGTATTTATGGATACTTTCTCTTACTTTTTGAAAAATAGATTTCTTTTGGCTTATTTTGAGCAGAAGGAATTGTCTTTTACATTCCTTAATAAAACGTGGACTGACGCAACTTGTTTCTTGGCTATTTTTTTTAAACAACATTCACAGTAAATGCAATTCAATAACAGTTCAGATACTAAAGGTCCCATATTACGCAAAACTGACTCTTGTGAGCGTTTAGTCGTGTTAAAATGCTGTTACCTCATCAAAAACAGACCTGGAGTTGTGTTTTGTTTCGTTCACGCGTGTCAGTCTACATCGCCAAAGCTCAAAACACACTGTTCCACCTTGTGATGTCATGAAGTTGTAGTTACAGCTGCGTGTTACCTTTTGTTAAGTAAAGATTGGCAATTCCAGGACTGAAATTCTCCAAATGATTCTAGTGAAGCTGTATGTACTTTAAAAAATGTACTTTAAAAAGACAGTGGCGCATGTTTTGTATTAGATGACATCACAAGTCAGAAGAGAGTTTTCTGTGTGAGAGAAGAACTCAGCCTAAATATGCAGAGTTAAACGTGTGAATGAAACAAAACACAGCTCCAGGTCTGTTTGTGATGAGGAAACCACATAATAACAGCTCAGAAAACAGCGTAATATGGGCCCTTTAAAATCAATCTTATCTGGAAAACCCTCTGCTCAAATCACGTTACAACAGCAGAATACAATGTTATAAACCAGGTGAGTATTGTGAATAAAATGCAATAACATATTAAAAATAAAATGATTAAAATGTTTTTTTTTTAAACGTAATTAACATGAAATGCCATTTGTTATAATTTGTCCAAACACATTGCAAAAACATTGTCCTTTCACATGCTCCGTCGATGGCAAATGGCTTGTGAAGTTGCAAGAGTCAATATATGTATCGTCGAGAATGGACAGTTTGTACAGCGTTTGAGGCCTTATAATGAAGCGTGGCGCCAAGAATAGTGGCAGAAAAGTGAAGTTCTGCTGCCCCCAAGTGACTGCTACAAGTATTGTCCTTTAAAACCAGTGCTCCATGTTCAATAACAGAATAGACGAGTAAACATGACAACTTTTAGTCCAAAAACGATCATTTTCTCTTATATATTCACTAATTTGGTTCTTTTCAAATATAACACAAAGTGAAGTGACCAAGGCCTGTAGCGAGCAGTCAAGACATGTTACATGGGTAATGTCTAATCTCCTAAATGTATTTAAATGTCCCGTATTATGCGAAATCGACTCTTGTGAGCTTTAAGCCATGTTATAATGTTGTTATTATATCAAAAACGTACCCAGAGTTGCGTTTTTCATTCACATATTTGAGCAATTCTTTATGTAATAATATCCAAGTCTCACGATACAATATCGTCACGGTATGAACCTCACGGTACGATATTTATTCCGATATTGTGTCAAAGTTCACGATTAAGGATATAACAATATCCAAATCTTTCGTACGATATTTTCACGATATACATCTCACGGTACAATATTTATTGTGATACTCTGTGGAGGCTAAACAGCTAAAACTATTAATATGATACTTTTTCCTCTTAAAATGCCTGGATGAGACTTAATCCAAAGACTTAAAAGTGTTTAGAACTGTTATTTCTTCATCTAGTCTACACTAAAATGGAGCAAAGGATCATGGTCTATGTAGTTCTCACCATAACTTTTAATTTAAGCAGAGACTTGTAATTCGATATATTGTGATGGTCCAGGATATTATTGTGAGAACTTTGACGATACGATATCACGATATTTTGCTTATTCTTACATCCCTATACTCTGTCTATATCTTCAAAGCTCCAAATGCTCTGTTCCACCTTGTGATGTCATGAAGCGTTAGTTTTGCAGTTAACAGCTACGTTTAACCTTTAGTTCAGTAGAGGCAATTCCAAAGCTGAAATGATTGTTGATAATCATTCTAAATATGCAGGTTTGTGTATTCAGCACGTGAAGGAAAAAAAAAAAATCACAACTCCAGGAAACATTATAACATAGATCAGAAAATAATCTAACGCGGGCCCTTTAAGTCTTTGAAAAGAACCAAAGTTAGTGATTACAGCTTTTCCAAACATTGCATTATTTCAAAAAGCACTCTTCGTTTTTAAGTTTACACCAGAACATCTGAAAGTGAAGTGAAATTAAAAAAAACTTCATAACTAATCCAACACTATTCCTACATTTAGAAGTGTACTGCTTAACTTTTCTGATGGAGACTCTGCCATTTGCTTTTCTCCATGAAGTTATGACTTTGCCTTGAATGTACCACTGCCTGGCATTAATCAGGTCAGATCTGCGGAGAGGTGTAAGAAATACTTGTTATTCAATTTATTTATGAACAATGAATAGAGTTGTAGTAAATAAATGCAAGATTAATTATGGTGGAGCATTCCAGACAAAGCAATAACATCTTCACAGAGAGACAAGCAAGTGGCGCACCCATTTCAGAAAAGTTAGTGCGGCTTTAAGTAAATATTGTGTCGACCCTGGAAATAATTTTGGATTTGCGTTATTTTAGCTTTCCTCTACTGGTTCAAGCTGGTTTTGCTATATGTTTTTCTCTATGTATATACTTTCTGGTTTGTTTGCTACACTTAAAACTCCTAAACTATTTCTCCACATTTCATCTGTAAAGTAATTCCACCCACTTAAAATCTGACGCTCCCATCGTCACGACAACAATCACCTTTTACTTAATGGCATTTTGCACCGTTTCCATGGCAGCTAAATATACAGAATATATAACATCGTCACATTTAGGCCAGGCATAAGCTACGGGGAAGTGAACTAACTATTGGCCGATACCAGCTAAATGCAATAACGTTTTAAAATCTCGATTAAAAAAATAACTCCAACGTAATTAAAGTAAATGAGGAGTCAAGTCTTTTGTGGAAACATGCAAAGGGTACGGAGATCCTTCTACGTATCAGTCTGGGATGGAGGCAGGTTTTTTTTTTTTTTTTTTTATTTAGGTCCAAAGTTCAGTCTCAGAGAGCGAGCGGCGATGCAGGTTTTGACTTGTTTAGGGGCAAAGGTCACGGTGCCCGGGGAGCTGCCTCTGCATGGTGGTCAGCTCCTGGATCAGGGATTTGAAGGTGATTCTTTTCTCCGGGGCTTGTTCCCAACATCTGCGCATCAGCTCGTAAACCTGCGGAAAAAAAACAAAGAATTATAAAGGGATCTTGTTAAAGTGGCTGGGAATCGCAGGGTCCCTCATGATTCAATACAATATTATGATAATAATATGATCCCGATATGGCGATACATGTGGTAACTGATATAATGCACATGGTACTTTGTGATATAATGCAGTTTTTTTAAAGACCAAATACAATTTAGCAACAATATTTCTTTATTAAATCACTTCCTGTTAAGGATGTAACAATAACCAAAATATCATGATATCATATTGTCAAAGTTCTCACAGTAACATCGTGGACCATCACAATATCTCGAATTAGAAGTCTCTTTGCTTAAATTAAGAGTTTTGGTGCAGCAATAGCTAAAAAAAAAGCACAGAGGGAACTACATAGACCATGATCCTTTGCTCCATTTCAGTGCAGGCTACAAGAAGAAATAACAGTTCTAAGCACTTTTGAGTCTTAGTTCTTTGGATTAAGTCTTGTCAAGGCATTTTAAGATGAAAAAGTAGCGTATTAACAGTTTTAACTGTTTAACCTCCACAAAATATCGTAATAAACATCGTACTGTGAGATGTATATTGTGAAAATATTGTACCGAGAAATTGGATATGTTTACATCCCTAATCGTGAGCCTCCCCACCATATCGTGAGCTTTCCCATGATATTAATAAATAAATATCGTACTATGAGGTTCATACTATGACAATATCGTATTGTGAGACTTAGATATCGCTCTTGTGCAAAGTTAATATGAAAAAGATCTATTTTAATCCTCAAAACAGTGATTAGAAGTGTACTGCATAAACAGGTTTCCTTCCACTAAATAAGCAACAAAATTGTAGTGCGCTTGCCGATATATCGATGATACCGTATCAATAAATGCAGTATCACGATGTACAGATATACAGTTTTTATATTTTTGCACACCCCTACTGAACAGGGCCAGCTGTGGCATAAACGTTCTAAAGCTGTTGTTTAGGGCCACAACCACTAGGAGGAGCCACATCCTCAGAGAGAACTGTAGTGAACTGACTAAATGTATTTCAGTTAATTCTGATGCACACTGCACACACTAGAAATAGGAGGAAAAAAAGCTTTGTGATTTAACATTGTATCAGTGTCATCAAATAAATAAATTGAAGAAGAAAACATATATTGTGCTTTTGTCTCCTGTATCGTTATAATCTCTGACACGCATGGATCATTATTTTATAGTTTGCACATTTTAAATTGTATTATAAAACTAAAACGACTTAAATGACTTAATGTCTATGCAATGCTGCCAAATCTTATATTTATCACAAATTAAGAAAAAAAAAAACGGGAGAACCAATTTACTACAGAGCAATGGGAATGGAAAATGGGAATTGACCTGCTATAAGACATTATGAAAATATTGAGATTAAAAATTACAAAAACACATTTATAACATGATTAAAAGCAATGAAAAGTTGATTTTGCAAAAAAAAATTGCTTTAAGAACATTTAAGAGTGGGACTGAAGGATGAAAAAAGAAAAATTAAGCAAGAAAAAACAGCACCGGATAAAGGTGAGTGAGTTAAACGTATTTTCCAAGTAAATACACGCTAGAGATATAGCTACAATTGATTACTTCATTCTTGTCTTTCTTTTATTATGATTGGTGTATTGATTTTTGTAAAAGTGTATATCCATTAGGGGGTAAACCTGTGAAATGTTATGCTCCTTTTTATTTTTATTTGGATGTTAATGTCATGTCCAATTAAAATGAATTTATTTCGGGATCAATAAAGTCTGTCTATCTAATTAAGTGTATCCTCAGAGAATCAGGAAGTGGGTTGTTAGCATCCTTCTTGTTGTAAGCACTTCCATGACGGCTAAAGTCTGCTCTGGTCCCTGAAAGCTGTGAAACGAGTTTAAAAACTCACTGCAGTGAATAATGAAGATGCTCTAAATGCATAAGGTAAGTGAGGAATAACTCTGGACTTTGTTTTTCAGTCTAAAAAAGGGTTTAATCAACAATTAAATGAGAAAATGCAATATAAAAACACTCAAACTGCAACTATTGAAAATTCTGTATGTGGAACTGAGTGCATACTTTGATAAAACAACTACAAGTGATGCTGAAAAAAAAGCATGTTATTGTGTAACTAGAAAAAAACAATGATAGTGCAAAGTAAAAGCGGTTCTTACTGGCTCGGGGCAGTTTTCTGGGCGTGGCAGCCTCTTTCCCTCTTTGAGCGCGTTCACTAACCGCACCACCGTCATCTGGCCTTGAGTGGGACCAATCATACTGAGGAACAGCTGTGGGCACATGGAGAGTTACAGTGTCAGGAAATCAAACGCTATATTTTCAGTTCATGTGAAGGAGAAGTTATAGATCAGTGTGGCCTGGGCAGTAAACCGAGACAGATCAATTTGTCCCCGTAATTTGATCTTTTAGAAATGCTTTACGTGCACGAAATGAAATAAGCTACTCCGTTACTCAAGCTGACAGAGGCTGGGCTGATTGGAAATATGGACAGCCACCTTTCCTGTACACAAATGCACAAAGCATTTCCTCTCCTCTTTTTTTAGAACTAAGTGGTCTGTATTTCCGTTAAAAATGACCCCAGGTCCATCCGTGTTGACATTTTGTTTTGGTTTAGTTGACCCCCTGAGCTTTGGCTTTTGTTCAAACCACAATGCAGACATTATAATGCTTCAATTAATGGTGGCAGAAGCACAAATTCTTGTGTCAAAAATAAATAATAATCATTTTATTTAACAATAAGCAATATAAAATCAGAAGTGCATCTATATTTCAAATAATGTAACCCCACCCCAGTATACAGCTAATGACTCTTACTGAGAACAGAAACAGTTAAGAGTTGATCTTAATAAAAAAAAAAAAGAAATTGTACAAAAGGGACTAAACACAGAAGTTTTCCTTGCATTATATCATTATGAGTAGTGAATAAATAATAGAATGTAAACTGCAACTAATCTAAAAACATGGCCAACTGATGGCTTAGTCGCTTAAAAAGAGGGTGTGGTAAAAGCTCTCAAGCTCTCACTGTTACTATCTCTGCAAGTGACCCAAACCGCACTCACAAGACTGCACCTGCGGATAGAGTTCATGCAAATATTTATGCACCACTGACCGATTAATCTACTGAATGATTAAGGATGTCCAGCTCTAATAACCTGTATATAAAGTGTGTGGTTGTGGTCTTTTGTACATGGGGCTCTAATAACCTGTAAGTAAGTATGTAAGTATTTATTTATATAGCACTTTTCACAGACATATGTCACAAAGACGCTTTACAGAGCATTATTCATTCACTCCAGTCCCAGAGGTGGTAAGCTACTATTGTAGCCACAGCTGCCCTGGGGCAGACTGACTGAAGTGAGGCTGCCATGCCAATCGGTGCCATCGATCCCTCTGACCACCACCATCACTCACGCACACACCACTTTCATACTAGGCAATGTGGGTGAAGTGTCTTGCCTAAGGACACAATGACAGTTTTATGAGTGGCGGCCAACTGAGGCACCTGGTGTTCCCAGTGGTCTCCCATCCAAGAACTAACCAGGCCCGGCCCTGCTTCACTTCTGAGATCTGACAGGATATAAATATAAAGAGTGTGTTTGTGGTTTTACATGCATGGCGCCCTAATAAAGTATATATAAAGTGTGTATAAAGTGTATTTACGGTGGAAAAAAAATTAGATCTCTTGAAAAAATAATTAATCCATTTGCGAAGACCTAGGCCTGCCCCAGCCAGAGACTAACATCCTCACCAGCAATATGTCCCTACCACATTTTCCCTGAGTCTGCCCCCAGAGCATCTCCCCTCAGAGCATCTGAGCTCTGAGTCCCTGCCCCAGAGTCCCTGCCCCAGAGTCCCTGCCCCAGAGTCTCTGCCCCTGACCATCTCTACTGAGCATCCCCTCAGAGCATCTCAGCTCTGAGTCTCCCCCCCCAGAGCATCTCCCCTCAGAGCATCTGAGCTCTAAGTCCCTGCCCAGAGTCCCTGCCCCAGAGCATTTGAGCTTTGAGTATTTATACAGAAATACAAGTTACATACATATCAAAGCTGAATGACTTTAGTTTCACAGGCTTTTGCTCACCAACTTAACATACTTCTGAGGACAGCTAAGACACCACACAGTTTCCTGTAGGTGGGGACAGTTGTGTGTGCTATTTCCCTCACAGTGTGTTTGATCTTACATTCATGGGGCTCTTGGAGGAGTCGCAGTAGGTGATCAGCTCGTACATGGTCACTCCAAAAGACCAGACGTCTGAGGAGCGGTAGAATTTACAGTGGGTCAGGCACTCTGGAGCATACCTGCACAAAACCAAACATTACAGATTAGAATTGTAGAAAGTTAAGTCCAAAAAATGAACTTTAAAGATGGGGTATTTAAATTTTGTAGGGTTTTAAAGGTGCACTATGCAACTTCTAAGGTGGAGGGTCCGCTACTCCGCCACATGGAGATGCTGAGGTTTGTGAAGTTGTAGTGTATATCATGCTTCATTATATCATTATATCATTATATCATGCTTATGTTTATTTGTGGACTGAGCACTGGACAGAATCTTCCAGCTAATGATGGAGAGCTCAAATAGGGCCTGGGAGAGACCGCCAGATTACTCAAATAGGCATGGATAACATCAAAACCCTCTTCAGGCATGTTTTTGATGTAAAAACATTATAGCATGTTAGAAAGCGGAGTTAAGTCGATTTTGCATAATACTCCTTCTTTAATTTCCTGCTAAACTGACCAGAAAACAGGGCTTTCGTTCTCGTCTTTCACGATGTAATATCCGTCGTTTTCTTTGATGCTTTTGGTGAGGCCGAAGTCTCCGATCTTCACCGTCTCGTCGTTCTCCAGGAGCACATTACGAGCTGCTAAATCTCTATGGATGTAATTCTTAGACCCCAGATAATCCATTCCCTGTTGAAGAATATAACAAAAAATATTAACAAACAATGTGACGTAGGAGTGTGTAGAAATTAGGCATGTCAAGAATATTTAATCTATAATCACACAAGCAAACTTAAAGCCACACTATGTTAATAGACTTTTCAAGAATCAGTTTTTGAATATAGTTGAGTCCGCTATGTGTGTTGTAAGTGGTTTGAGGAAGAGGTGTACAGAAAAATAAAACAAAATTGGACTGTTATATCTAAACCAGGGGGGTCCGAACTTTTCACTTTTTTGCACACGCATATTTAAACATTTTTGAACCATAGTCAATCTAGCGAGTCATTCAGATTTGATAGAGCCCCTGTACCTTTAATCAGGTAAATTATTCAGATCACAGTTGTTCAGTTATTCAAATTTACATATTCTAAAAAGTAATCTTAAAGTAACCTTAAATTGTGATGATTTTTACATAGTACTTTCCCACCTTCAAGGCACTCAAAGCTCTTTACAGCACAGAACCACTCACCAACTCACGCACACATTCATACACCAGTGTACGCAGACGCTGGGATGAGGTGGGTTAAGTGTCTAGCCCAAGGACACAAGGACAATATTCATCTGTATAAGCTGGAATCACACTGCCATCATTGGATCTGATCGCTCAAGCAATGATATTTACTTCAAGTTTTATGTTACTCTACGAACTGAGCTACTTTCGCTACTGATGTTTCTTTTCCAAATACTTGTAAAATATAGTGACATCCCTTATATAAATAAATATAATAAATAACAAATAAAACTGTACCATGCATATCTGCGTGGCGTAGCTGAGCAGCGTGCCAAGGCTTGTCGTTCTTCTGGATTTGGGCAGGTGCTCCTTCAAACTTCCCAGTGGTAAATACTCCATGATCAGTTTGATTGCCTGGCCACCTGCAATTTTCAGCACAAGAAAATGAAACATTAAATTACAAAAAGTACACGTTGACTCATATTAAAGGCTCACAACCCTCACTTTAGGCAGTCAATATCAGCTGCTCATCTGTAGTGCTGTGCGTTTTGTTTTGTTGGTTTGGACACGAACAAATCAGCGCGGTAGTTTAGGATTACCCAGAATGAAACAAGATATAATGGCATTTCAAGGAATCATAATACAATTCTTACACTTGTAAAAGAAGTCAAATTTGGCATAGACAAAACCAGATAAAAAGCTTCGTAGACACAGGACAGATTTAGCTACATAAAAAGAGTTTTAATAATGAGCAACAACGCACCAAATTATTCATAAAACGTGAAAATTAACAAAAAGTACACCCACTTTCAGATATTTATGATTATCCATCTTTGGTATAAATAAGTATTGTGATAGTCTGTAGCCTTGAGTAGGGATTTACTGATCCATCTTTTTCAGTTCAGATACCGATATAAACACTATGACTTTAAGTATTTGCTGATACCTGATAGAAGCTGATACCAGTGTAGGGATTGATTTTTTTTTTTCTCTTTCAAAACACAGTTAAAAAATTTGATCTACTTGTGTTATGTAACTTATTTATCCTACAAGTAACTACACATCAGCTTTGTATGAATTAATGTTCAGATATTTTGAGATGTAATGAGCCTACATTTAATGCCTCTCTCTTTTTTTAAATTTTATGATGATGATTATGTGATTGTTATTGTATGTGTTGTGATTTTAATGTATTTCTTATTCTGTAAAGCACTTTGAATTATTTTGTGTCTATGAATTGTGCTATACAAATAAACTTGCTTTGCCTTACATCAGTCAGTAAAAAAACTCTAATTACATCCACTTAAAAACGAAACTTGGATATTGGCTGAAACTGTATTTTGGAACCAGTAAATTTTCAATGTCAGTATCGTATTGGTGCATCCCTTATTTTGAGAACTTTACACCATTCAAGAGATAAGATACTTTGTTTAAGACTGTCAATTCCTATAGCAATGACGAAATATTTATTTTATAATTCTGAAATCCACGGATAGGTATTCTCCACTCACTCTCGTCCAAACAGATGCCTTTGTATTTCACTATGTTGTCATGGTACAGAGCCTTGAGGATGTCTATCTCTGTGGACAGATTGTTGCCCTGCTCCTCGCGGTTTTCAGGTTTCAGAGACTTCACAGCCACCAGTTCTCCAGTTTTGTCTCCACGTGGATCATACCGGCACAGCTCCACCTTTCCAAAGTGACCCTAGAACACAAATCAAACATACCCCGATTTGTCAAACACCAACTGCACAACATACAGAATTTAGGTACCACTTTATAATAACTATAACTTAATTAGCCTACATAAACAATGGTTCAGCATTAGTAAGGTTAAGAGTATTAATAAAACATTTAGAAACCTGAATCATTCTCAGTGGTGGAAGGTAACAAAGTACAAAAGTATAAGTAAAAATCTTTGGTATCTGTACTTCGCTTAAATTTTACAGTAGATACTTTTTACTTTTATTTTATTACATTTGAGAGCAAGTATCTGTACTTTCTACTCCACTATATTTTAAATCTGGACTGTAAAGTAAAAAAGTACTTTTTTTTAAAGTTTGAGACCTGCTGAAATGGCCGAGACTTTTCTTTAGCACATTTAATTTCAGTTTCCATCCCAATTTTGAGCAAAACAAATACACAAAAAGATAAAAATGTCTAGAAAAAAGAATACGTCAACTGAATCACTTAAAATCAGCTAAATTAATTTCATCCTTTAATTGTTCTAAAAATCTCTGCAAAATACTTTTACTTTTTACTCTTTAAGTAAATTTTTAAGCAGTACTTTAACTTTAGTTTTCATGTGATACTTTTACTGTACTTTTTATTTAAGTATGACATTTTTAGTACTTCATCCACCACTGAGCATTCTTAATAAGCTCTTTGTTTATAATGGATTAAGTCTTTGTTCATATTTTTATTTAAGTGTTGCCAAGTTTGTAATACTGAAAGTGAAACAAAAAGTACCTCTCCCAGTTCTCGAATCTTTTTCAGGAATCGCTTTTCAAATATGGTTGGATCGACACTGTTTGTCTTGAGGGGTTTGAAGCCGGGGTCTAGAGAAAAACAAAAACAGAAGATGAATAAATAACACTTTTAAACAGACTTCTAACTACGGATGGGCCAAGGTTTGCTGGATGTTTCTAGAATGAAATGATGCTGCGCACTCAGGAGGGGGAAAAGAGACTTGTCATGTTGTATTTTCAAAGGAAATTGCCAAAAGAGAAGTGACAAATGTAAAAACAGACCACACTGCACGTTTTGAATTTGCCATTATAGTTAAGCTGAAAACAGACAACTATGAAGACAATACATTGATATTTTAAACCAAATTCAATGCCCCAACAATATTTTTTATTTTTTGGCTTTTTTTTTTTCAACATCAGGTTTAAAGTATCTAGTTTTGATACTTGTTTTTGTATTAATTAGTAACCGTAGGTGTCAAATTCTTGGTCAACATGTCCTGCAGACTAATTCACTGGCTAGAAAAGCGGAGTAGTGACATAGTTATTACATATCCACGTGCATCTGACCCAAACTGCACTCACAGGATTACACCGGCACAAAAAATTTTAGGAAACATTGTATTTATATCGATAAACTTGTGAATCATGAATTTAATTTGCCTTTACATATAAATAACAAAACATACAAAATCATCAGCTAACTCATTCACTAAAATCATCTGAAAGCAAAAAACATCTATTTAAATGTATTATATGTGTCATGCAATGTGATTTTACAACTCTAATTCTTCCATGCTGCTGGACTGACTGCCGTGCCTAAGCGTGTCCACTAGAGTGCGCATGTGAGCACGCTGGAGGCCCTGATGGGGGTGGATCGGTGATAGTGCACCCAGTGAACTTCCTCCTGTTCTGTGTAAACAACATGCCTCTTCTTCTTCTGCTGCTGCTTCTGCTGCTGAGGCCACAGACAGCAGAGGTGAGCCATGCACAGCCCCCAGGCCACAATCCACTCAAAAAACACACAATATGTGAAAACAGCGCAACGCAACTCCATACAACTACACCAACAACTCACCCTTATGTAACAGATAACCTTATGTCCTGTCAGTCATTATTTCACTGTTTTTCCTTACGACCTACTGTATATAGCTGAGAAATATTTGTAATATTATGTTTACTGTTTTATTTGTACTTGTACACATACATTTTATAATTTATTTACTTATTAACACAAGTCTCATGCTATTTTTTCTATTTTTTTTAATTATTAGTACCATACCACACATATTTTGCTCTTTGTTATTATATTATATTATGATGTGTGAACTACTGCGTCCAAATTATTTCCCTTGTGGATCAGTAATGTTTGTCTAAGTATTACTACATATCTACTATAACTATGTCAACAATATGCAATTTTACTATTCAGAATTTGAGTCAAAAACAGATGTGTCCAAATGATTACTTTCGAAATGGTTTCTAACTATTCAAGATGTTAGATAAAATGTAATACAAGACAAAAACAGCAGGCTGGGGGACATACGTTTTGCAATGTGTTTCAAGGTCTGATATTATGCTTTATTCATTTGAACCACTTGCTAGAGTAAAAAAAAATCTGAAAATCAATAAGAGATAGACAGATGAAGATACTATTCAATAATACTAAAACTAAAAAACATACGCACACACGGAACTAAACAGGGCATTTTGTGAATTGTTTAATAGTCCTGCCATAAAAAGACCATCTCAAACTAAAATAATATAATGAAACAGTTCAATATTTTGTGTCACTTATTTCAGAAAGTCAAACTAATATTATATAGACTTGGGATGGGACAAGATCTCGTACCACAAGATCACGAGAAAAGTGATCTCGTGAGATTTTTTCCCCCTGAATTTACCTTTACCTTGGACAAAAAAGAGTTAAGAGCTGGTGAGTTACATAATTTGAGAAGTTGTAGATCCAAAAAGCAGAACCACAATGACGGCTAAAGCATTACATAAAATAAATAAGAATAGTGGAGCCAAAATTGTGAAATGGATTGCACTACTTATTTATTATAAATGATGCACAAATCTCGTCTTGTCTTGTTCTCATGGACCCAATCTTGTGGTGTGTCTTAGTGGTGAAAATTGTGCAACTTCCCACCACTAATATAGACTCATGACACATAGAGTGATGCTTTCAAGCCTTTATTTCTTGACATTTTGATGATTATGGCTTATAGATAATGAAAACTCCAAAAATCTGTGTCTCGGAATGAGTGACAAAAAAATCAACCTTTTTCATGATATTGTAACTAGCATACATAGTGCACCTCTAATATTGTTATTAATATTAGATCTCATGGCCCTTTCTCAAAGAGGTAAAGTAAAAGTTGCACATTATTTGATTTGCATTATGGTACTTACTATTCTCCTCCAGCATGTCCAGGTCCCTCACGATGGCCCTGAAGAAAGGCCTCTTCTTGGGGTCGTAGTTCATGCAGTGGGTCATGAGTTTGGCCAGCTCCTGGTAGTCTGGTGTGGCCAGCTGGCACTCGGTCTCATAGAACCTCTCCTTCTGCTCAAACAAAGCAAAATATTATCACATTTAGAATGCTTTATTTGATTATTTGGTAACACTTTATTTTCGGGTACACTTATTAACATCTAACTACCTGCTAATTAGCATAGTTGTAGATGGTTAATTTGCCATTATTAGTATTTATTCAGCCCTTATTAATGTCTAATTCCCCATAATCTTATTCTGCTATTAGTTAGACATTTGCAAACACTTTCCTATTAATACACTCCTTATTCCTGCTTATTAGTCTGATACTAAGCCATTTTTGTCCATGAATTATGATTCTAATAAGCTTTTGGTAATAAGCGTATTGTTAAGGACTAGAAGCACAAGAAATGTAGTTTTTACTTATTTGTACTTAATAATTTTAGCTTACTCTAAAAACCCTAAAAAACCCTTAAAAAAAACACTCTCTAGTAGTGTTAATAGAGTCCAACTAGCCATGAATTAAGTAAGCTAAAATTATCAAGTGCAAATAAGTAAAAACTACATTTCTTGTGCTACTAGCCCTTAACAACATGGTTACTACCAAAAGCTTGTTAGAAAAATAATTCATGGACAAAAAAGGCATACTAATAATAAGCAGTAATAAGGAATGTATTAATAGGAAAGTGTTTGTAAATGTCTCACTAATATCAGAATAAGCTTATGGAGAATTAGACATTAATAAGGGCTAGATAAATACCAATTAATTACAAATTAACCATCTACAACTATGTTAATTAAGAGGTAGTTAGATGTTAATTAGGGGTGTCAAATTATCGCGTTAATTGCGATTAATTAATTACAGTCATATTTAGCGCGTTATGTTTTTTAATCGCGTTAATCTCATTTTTAATCTCTAACTTTACTGTTTCTGTATGCGAGTTGCTTTATTATAAAACCTGTTTTTATGTGTTGTTGGGCCAACAACACACTCCAAAAAAACACATTTATAATTTTTTTTATTTCAGTAATTCCACTCATTGCCGGAAACCCACACAAAACGTGCGCAGTAAGAGTGACGTCATGTTAACGTTGACGGCGTCAGTCACACAATGGACGAGGTTGAAGAGCCAGTAGAACAGAGGCAGCAGTGCACAGGTAAAAACACATTCGTGTCTTGGAAATTCTTCTCCCGACATGAAATATAAAAGAAAATAACAAATATAATATCGCCTACAACTTAAATGTCACTGGTGAAAACAACCTGCATAGGCTCATGATGTCTGCACTACTGTCCTATAGTGACCTGCCACATGAGGGGACACGCACACAAACACACACAAACACAAACACACACAAACACAAACACAAACACACAACACAAAACACAAACAAACACAAACACACACCTTCATCATCGTCATTAACCTGAGAACGCGCAGACCACGTTTCCTTCCGTAGTTACTGCGCGGACACCGCTGTCCTCCCGTGCGCCTCGTACGTTTTCTCGCATACGCTGCGTAAACCGTGCTTCCTCCTGTGCGCCTCTAAACCAGAACTAACACCAAGACTAAAACCGGGACTAACCCAGTCCAGGACTAAACCAGGACTAAAACCAGGTCTAAACCAGGACTAAACCAAAACTAAAACCAGAACTAAAACCAGAACTAAAACCAGGTCTAAACCAGGTCTAAACCAGGTCTAAACCAGGACTAAACCAGGACTAAACCAGGACTAAAACCAGAACTAAAACCAGAACTAAAACCAGGTCTAAACCAGGACTAAACCAGAACTAAACCAGAACTAAACCAGAACTAACACCAGGACTAAAACCAGGATTAACCCATTCCAGGACTAAACTAGGACTAAAGTAGGACTAAAACAGGACTAAAACAAGGACTAAAACCAGTGATCTCATATATAAAGCATTTCTCTATCAATAATATTTTTAATATGGTTAAGGAAAGACTGGACTTTTTATTGTCTTTAAGTAGACAAAAGTTATTATGTTCAGATTTCCTCGTCTTTGCTACTTTACAGCAAACAGTTTTGGAGACTTGGGCTCAACAGCCAATTTGAAGAGATTTGTTAAACAATAAATGACTTTATAAAGTCACTTTTTTTTGTTCTATATCAGTCTTTTGATCTGCCACAATAATGTAATAATGAATTTAAATGAAAATACCTCAAATTGAAGGCTTTTCTCAGCAATTTTTAGGTGAGATTAAAAATAGATTAATTAGATTAATTAATTACAGATCATAATTAATTAATCTCTCAATTTTTTTAATTGCATGACAGCACTAATGTTAATAAGCGTACCCTAAAATAAAGTGTTACCGATTATTTATTATGCTGCAGGAATCAAAAATGAAAGGTCTAAAGTGGTTCTCAACTGTTGTGATGTGGGACATTGATATCTATAATCTTTACAGGGCACGTTCACACTTGTCATAACATACCTGGAGCTTTGTTTTGTTTCATTTACATATGTTTGCATAATCGTTTATTATTAGTCTGTCTACATCTACATCTCCAAAGCTCTGTTCCATCTTGAGATGTCACGAAGCGGTAGTTTTTTCAAGTTAGCCGCTTCTTTTTACCTTTAGTTCAGTAGAGATTGGTAATTTCAGGGTTGAAGGGTTATATGAAGTTTAAATGTGGACTTGGCTCCGGTTTAGTCCTGGTCTAGCTCAGGTTTAGTTACAGGCTTAGTCTTAATTTACAAGCACGGAAGCATGCAAAGTTTGTTTATATATATCACCTTTCACTGACCAGGAAGTCAAGAGATGCAACAAAAGCTTAAAACACATTTAAAAAAAGCACACACTTATAATTACAGCACAGTTTTGTCCCAATTTTAATGTGCCACCCCAAAGAGAATACAGTGCATATATTAACACATGTTCAATGCACCAGTTTATTAGATTTCTAATTTTTTTGTTTTTTTGTTACATTTTTTTCTCAGTTTTTAAGAATGTATGATTAGTTTTTTATTAATCATACATTCTTTCTACCTATTCATGGAATTCAGCTTCCTTTTTGGCACATTTTGAGGACCTTTTTTTCCATTCAAAAGATATAATATTTAGTTAAAATAAGATTGTGATTCACTATGGCAACGGTCTTAATAATTCATCATTCTGAAACCCATGGATCTCAGTACAAATGTTTCATATTAAGATGGGAGGCAAAATGATTAAGAGGTGATCATGTTTTTGTTTCTTTTCCTCTCATTTAATTTCATTTTTTATTTAATTTCATTTTATTAACGTAGTCAATTTGCAGCTATTCAATATAAACCTTTGAAGAGAACAGAATAACTGACATGTCTGAGGAGATGCTGTAGAATAGTTTTACCTCGGTGAGTCTTTTGTCTTTGAGTGGCACTTCTCCGTCGTAGCAGATCTCCCATAGAGTGGTCCCAAAGCCCCACTTATCTGCAGCCACACTCAGAGAGGACGAGTTCTTCACACACTCGGGAGCGATCCAGGGAATACGATGCACACACTCTGTAAACAAACATATGACAATTTAACACAAAACTGCAGAAATATCACTTAGTTTAGACTCTAGTAGTGCTGTGAGTAAATTTATATTACCATTTATATTTTTACTCTTTGTTATTATGTTATATTGTGATGTGAGAGCTACTGTGTCTAAAAAAATTCCCTTGTGGATCAATAACGTTTGTCCTTTATTAAGATACCCGCGTGACCATTGATGCCAAAACCAGTATCAAAAATGTTCCCATCAAGACATGGACCAACGCACAGACAGGGCTGAACCAACCCCGGCCCACATTTTGACAATTCTATCTGTTTGCTCAAGAGGAGGGAGATGCATAAAGAAATAGGTAATACCGCTATTGATGTTTTGTTAAGCAAAATACCAAAAGTAAATTTTTTTTTGGTCAAATACCCTGCAGCATTCGTAGGTGTTACTGACTCCATCCTCGGGAAATCAAAAAGATTTGTACAGAAAATAAATCAATTTAAAAAAAAACGACGTGCGCAGTAATTTTGTAGTTTATAGATTTGCATATCGTTACATACCTACGCTTTCTACCTATTCATGGGCTTCAACTTCTTGGTATATGCAACATTTTGAGGATTTTTTTCCCATTCAAAAGACAAGATATATTTGTTTTAAATTGTGAATCGTTATGGCAACAGTCCTAATAAGTCATCTTTCTGAAACCCATGCGCAGTAATTTTATATTTTTATGTCTATACTTAAAAAGGTCTTTGCTCCCAAACAAGGGTATAAAGTTATATTTGGGTTTAAGTGATGAGTTTTATGGTGCGTTTATGTTTTGCGTACCTTAATTCTTGAACCTGAACCAAGGCATTTACAGGCACGTTTTCACACATTCCTGATCCACTGTTAAAATATTGTCTTATCGAGATAATGCAAAAGTAGCAAATTCTCCCTTTTTGCCAATATAAAGCAGGGTTGAAAAGACTTCTAATATTTAATCAAAGCCTACAGAGCAGTGGTTCTTGAACTTCTCACATCAAATACAGCCTGAGACAATATTTAGTCCTTCGAGTACCACCAGATCCAAACAAGATCTACAACAAGACTAAGCCAGGTCTAAACAAGGACAAAACTAGGTATAAAATAGGACTGCACCATTTATCAGTAACACTAAAATAAATCAACACTATAACTTTGTGTACCTCCCATAGACTGTAAAAAGAAGTAAACAAAGGGATATTGACGTCATTCATAACGTTCAGATCCAGCCAAATGAAGCTCACAGATGCTAGCGGTGATAGGAACAGTCTATGCAGCGATGGATGAAGTACTCAATTTTCTTACTTAAAGGTGCACTGTGTAACGTTTTGTTTGGGCTTCTGTCACCTGCATGTCACTGCTCTGCCCGTAATGTTCCACAGTATGACATTAAACAGCTCTTCTTCAAATGTATTAAATGTACAGGAGGTTTTATAGATCAAAAATACCAAGAAAAAACAGGCATTTTGTCTGTGAGCGGGCTGTCTCTCCACAGATCTGACCTGTAACTTGGTCTGGTTTGATCACAACTATGATACAATGTTTTAATGCCATACTGTGAAACATTTCAAGTGAAGGAAGGAACATCTTAAAGCATAAGACGGACCCTCCATCAGAAAAGTTACACAATGCACCTTTAAAGTAACAAGCGCGCTCAGCTCGCAGAATACTCGCAGAATCATGGAAAGATGATTACAATGTGGAGGTACTGTCTGTGTGTGAAAGATAAAACACAAATGGGGAAATGGAGAAAGTGAGGAAGCGAGGCAGAGATTAGATTTTGACCTGACCAACCAAATACATAGGACAATGATGGGAATTTTAGAAGTAGAATCAAGTAATGTCAATTCATTCTAACAAAAATATCAGTCTTTCATCTGCTCATTAATGTCACCTTAAAATACAATAATTACATAAAGTTGGACACATATTAGAGGAGGGGTAATTGACTACACAATGTGAATGAAAATGATTTGGGTATTTCAGGGTTTGGTCATGGTGTTAATAATTCAATCTATACAGTAAAAAAGTAAAACAAGACATTAAGTGTACATTAAGTTAGATTTGGCTAGTTACTTATTAGAACAGTGATAATCAACTAGACAGTTAAATATCGTAAAATCATGATTTGTCATTATTATAAAATTAAATTATATTTTATTATGACATATCTACCTCACCGTGGTATCAAAATCAGTATCAGGAATTTTCCTCAGTATCAAAATTGAATCTGAAGTTTTAGTAAAAAGCCTCAATCACACTTAAAGGTGCATTGTGTAACCTTTCTGTGGAGGGTCAGGCAAATGTTTTTCTCCATGGAAATGTTATTGCTTTGTCTGGAATGTTTCCCAATATGGCATTAAAACTTTCTATCATCATTGAGACCATACCAGACCAATTAACAGGTCAGATCTGTGGAGAGACAATCCCACTCACAGTCAGAATGTATGTTTTTAGGTATTTCTGAGCTATAAAACCACCTGTAATTTAATACATTTGAAGAAGACTTGTTTAATGTCATATTTTGTAACATTCCAGGCAGAGCAATCACATATCCATAGAAACAAGCAGGTGATAGACCAGGGGTCTCCAACCTGTAGCTCGGGAGCTACCAGTAGCTCTTAACCCCATTCCAAGTAGCTCACCAAGGGAAATCTAAATTAGATGTACTGTGCTGAATAAGCAAAATTTGATTAATTAAATGCATATTACCATTATGCATGTATCATTTTGAAGCCTAACTTTGTACACTCCTATGGATAACGGTTTATATTTATAGGCATCTGATTGTACCTGATCTAAGGCTGTGGCTCTTACATTTACTCTTTAATTTCTTGTGACCGCTAAAACTAGTAGCTCTCTGGCATTTTCATTTTATAAAGGTAGCTCACCAGAGGAAAAATGTTGGAGACCCCTGTGATAGACCCTCAGCCAAAAAGTTACACAGTGCGCCTTTAACGCAACAAGCACGTTCAACTGGCAGAATACTAAATCATGGCGAGGTAGTTACAATGAGGAGATACTGTCTGTGTGTGAAAGATAAGATCCAAATGAGGACAGAAAGTGAGGAAGCAGTAAATAAATTAGATCGTAACCAACCAAATGTACGGGATAATGCTCGGAAGAAGGCCAACGCTCCCCAGGGAGTCAGCAGCACTCAGCCTATAGCCACTACGAGCTCAATCAAATCTATGCACAAGGACACAACTGTAACTGGAATACAGCACAGCAAAGTAATAATGGACATTGAAAAAGAAATGCAAGGGGTTCTGGGAAAACAAGAGGGGGGAGGGCTGTTCCCCCAGGAGTAGTGGAGATTTGTACACAAACATTTCCAGTCTTGCTTGAGGTTTCCATTTGTCTGTTTGAGTCTACACATTAAGGCTGTAAACTATAACACAAGTGAATTATTATTTGAATGCAAAGACCGCAATTATTTAAATGTTGTATATTACGCAAAATTTACTCTTGTGAGACTTAAGCCATGCTAGAATGTTACCTCATCAAAAACATACCTGGAGTTGTGCTTTGTTTCATACATGTCTGAGTAATCTTTATAAGTCTGGCCACACCCCCAAACCTCAAATGGTCTGTTCCACTCAGTTTCATTTCTCTCCAGCGACTAGGACAGGAATCGGAATACACTAGATGGTTTGCAAGAATCCTGGAAGTTGTAGACCATACACTGGCCAATCAGCGAACAGCTGTGAAGCCAGAACGTCAAACTTCAAGTGTATGGAGTTTAAAAACACAGTGGAGTACTTCCTGTATTACCGTATGACATCACAAGTTGGAACAAGGTGTTTTCTTTTTGAGAGAAAATCTTGTATTTGTGTGTTAAACAAAACACCAGGTACGTTTGTGATGAAGAAACATTATAACATAGATCAGAACATATGAGCCCTTTAAAGGTGCACCGTGGAACATTTCTGGTGGAAAGTCTACCACCATCTTGTGTGCATTAAGTTGTAATTAATTTGCCTAGAATATTCCATAATATGGCATTAAAGATATCTATGCATGATGCAGAGAAGCAAGTGACACCATCAGACCAAGTTGCAGGTCAGATCTACGGAGAGGCGACCCCACTTAAAGTAAGAATGCATGTTTTTCGAAGAATTTTGGAACAGTAAGACCACAATTGCATGAATACAACCCAGATGCCAGGCAAAGAAATAAAATCTCTAAAATCTCACGTAGTGCATCTATAATAGTCAGTTTGTTTATGTTCTATCACAAAAAAACTAAACAAAACAAACTCCATAGTTTCAACTTCTACAAAGACGTAATAAAACCCATGTAATTCTTGTATAACAGTAAGTACGCAGTTCATATTCCAAAATTCTCTCAAATGTAACACCCCTAGATTTAAATTACATATCTGATTGTGATTGGAATGCTCGACAAACAAAAACATCTCAAACAGACAAGCAGGAACAAGAAGCTGTCATTTGTGCTGTGACGAATGCCCACATCTTTAGTGAACAGAGAATTTGCTTTTACACAAACCAAATTAGAGGGAGTGGGAAATGTGGTCGGGCCAGAGTGAATCGATTATGACAAATATGATCCTTTTACTGACCGTGTGCTCCAGCTGAAACGTTATTTGTGGGTTTATTTGAAAAAACAGCGGTCAGAAAGAGCACAGCATGTCAAGTTGAAAGTTAAAGACCGTATTTTAAGCTAAAGTGACTTTTTCATAATCAAGAGTCTTGCGTTTTGTCCATAGACTGTAAATATAAATGGACATAGCTAACCCACTAGCCTCTGCATTACAAATAAGAAGAGAGCATGAGGGCGTTTCTGGCTCCATTGACTCTGGCTCCAATTCACTTTACATCATTTTGGACTTAAAATGTTTGTGTTAACCTGCTGTACATGATCCTGATGTTTTTATTTCACTATTTTGTCCATAAATTAATTGCTATCCCTAATATGGAACTGGCTCCAAACTCGTCCCTAACTGCAAGCCTCAGTGAGCTTCATTTGACTGGAGCTGAGCGCTATAGGTGACGTCACACTCCCTCAGTCCACTTCTTTATACAGACTATGGTTTTGTTTCATGCATGTTTGAGTCATTCTGCATTACATGACAGCGTCCTTCTCAAGAACTGAAAATGGTCTATTCCAACCAATTTACTTTTATTGTCCCATGAGGGTTCTGTCCCATGAGGGTTCTGCCAACTGCTTGTCTGCATAGACATGTAATTCATTAGTCTGGATGGTCCTTGCCTAGAATGTTTCACAGTATAGTATTAATCTAACCCATTGTTTCCCAAAGACTGGATTACGATCCTCAAGTGGGTTGCAAGAGATATTTTTTGGGTCGCCTTGTCACGATCCGCATGTAGGTCCTCCCGCTCCTTACTTTTTCCCCGTGCATGAAATCTCCACGCACCCCCCGCTCCTCACTTTTTCAGCAGCTCCGCCTTGCCTAACCAATTTTCTGTGGGAAACACTGATTACTGTTTTTCCTTGTTTAAATCTTGAGTATCGTATTTTTCTGATTATAAATCACATAATTTTCTCATAAATCGACAGCGCTCCTTATAATCTGGTGCACCTTATGTATTAATTCTGGTTGTTCTTACTGACCTCAAAGTATATTTTCACATACATTCCACTGAGTCATGTCCATTAGTCCGACAGAAGCTGACCACATCAGCACACAAGGAGCAAGCTGTTTTTTTATCGCTTATAGTTGATGCAAATTAGCCATGTGGTTTTAAGTTTAATTTCTGTGAAATGTAACAACAGATGTGGCAAAGCTGCATTAAACACATTATTACTCAGTGTATATTTGAAAATAAAAAAAGTATAATCCAGTGCGCCTTGTGTATGAAAACAGACAAGAGAATTCAACATTACTGATATTGTGCCTTATAATCCGGTGCGCCTTATAGTCCGAAAAATACGGTAATACTAATTGTTCAGAGAGACACGATCACTCAGTCATCAATAAAATATCCTCATTAATGTTCAATCAGTTTATTTTGTGATTTACAAATAATGTCTATTGACTTGGGTCTCGAAGATATGTGGCTTTTTAAATATGTGTCCCCAGAAAAAAAGTTTATGAAACACTGATCTCCTTGGTGACAAGCAAGAAATGCCAAGTATTTATTTATTTTTTTTTTTTTTACAGTAGATGTGCCTGTAACTGAGTAAATGCAAGTTTGCTAAGTTACATAGCTTTATTTAAACTTACTATACACATGCTTATGCTACCTACTTGTCTCTATGGAGATGTTATTGCTTTGTCTGAAATGTTTCACACTATGATATCTAACTTATCTATTTTGAATTTCTGTGGGCATGAGCTGACTCTCCACAGAACAGACAACTCTAATCTAATTTTAGATGAATGTACAAAAAATGTGACATGCCACTGAATTATTTTTGGTTTCATTTCATTTCAGAAAGCGGAAGTTACAGAGAAATTTCCATTGTGTGGCTTTTTTAAGACTTCATTATCACGCTTTCTCACTTTGAAGCCATGTGTCTGGTACTCACCCTCTCTGGACAGCACTGTTATGGGTATGCCTGGGTCACTCAGTTTAATGAAGGGTCCCTCTTCGTCTTTAGCCAGCCCCTCTCTGGCCAGCAGGATGTTTTTGGCACAAACAAAGCCATGGACGAGCCTCTTGTCCTCCTGAAATACAGTAACAAATGTCTTTCAGTACTAGACTTGTGGGAATACGTTGAAAACATATCTATTCACCTAATTCCGCCACGCCCACTTTTGTCTCTAAATGCTTCTAAAACTGCGCTGTCTTGTTAAACGGGAATCCCATTCATGTCAGTAGTGAATTTGTGAAAAGTATTGCATCTTAAATATGACAAGAAGTATGTGCACCAACCAGTCACACTGCACCGATTCTCTGTGAGGCTTTAAAACAGCTTTACAGCCTGTTTTGAACTTATTTGCTGTTAAAATCAGCAGCCACATACAAAATAACACAACGCAAAGATGATGGCGGCACTCACAGCAAGTGCAAAAGTTGAAATGACTACCTTTCAGAATCTTAGTTTGAATAGTTATGATTATTTTATTTTTAGTAAAGGTGCACTGTGTAAAGTTCTGACCTGTAATGTTCCCTGGTGTAAGTTTATTGCCATGCCATGTGGAAATTTACAGTCAAAGCAATAATCTCTCCATCAAGACAGAACCTCCAACAGAAAAGTGATATCGTGCACCTTAAAGTTTGTTGGTTGGTTTCAGAGTATATGCATTATGATCTTTTATTTATTTATTTATTTTTGAGAGTCGTGAAATCAAGTTTATTTATTTTAGATCATTTAAAACAAAGTCAAATCTCTCTCATTTCTCTCCCACTTTAATAATGCAGTGTGTTTCTTTAATTTAATAATTTTAAACATTTTGAAACTTTGCAATTCTCTGATTGGCTAATCCAGAGACCAATCACCAGGCTCACCACGGAAAACTCATTTAGCTTGAAACAAAAAACATACATATTTTAAAAAGTCCAAAATTCTAGACCTATAACTTAATTGCTCAATAGGCTGATCAGATTCAACATTTGTGAATTTACCTGTTAGAAATTTCATTGCAACGTACAATGTAATTTAACAGGAAAAACTGTCTCTTCCCCCCAACTGAGAGTATGACATTATCACATTCAAGAATCTGAAACCTACGAATAAATTATAAGATATTAGGGATGTAACAATAACTGAAATATCGTGATATTGTATTGTCAAAGTTCTCACAATAATATCCTGGACCATCACAACATATTGAATTACAAGTCTCTTTGCTTAAATTAAGAGTTATGGTGCAGCAATAGCTAAAAAAAAGACATAGACCATGATCCTTTGCTCCATTTCAGTGTAGACTACAAGAAGAAATAACAGTTCTAAGCACTTTTACGTCTTAGTTCTTTGGAATAACTCTTGTCAAGGCATTTTAAGAGGAAAAAGTAGCATATTAACAACATATTAAAATATCGCAATAAATATTGTACCGTGAGATGTATATGGTGAAAATATGGTACAGAGAGATTTGGACATTGTTCCATCCCTAATCGTGAGCCTCCCCACCATATCGTGAGCTTTCCCACGATATTATTACACCCCTATGAGTTATATTTAAGATATGTATATTTTAGTTAACTTACCAGGTAGCTGAGAGCAGAGGCAAGCTGTTTGGCCACCTGAAACTTCCAGGATGTGCTGAGAGGAGAGTTATTATTCATGAACAGATCCAATGGGCCATGTTGCACGAACTCCTCCACCATGATATCTGTAACAAAGAAAGTTATAATAATGTTTTAAAATAAAAAAACATTAATTTTTACCGTCTCAAAAACTTGAAAAACACAACTAGTTAATTTTAAATGGTTGCAGCAGTTCAAGGTTATTCCTCATTTACCTTATGCATTCTGACAGAGCATCCTAATTAACAGTAAAGCCAACAGGAACTAGCATGCTTCACACTTCCTGATTACTAGAAAATGTCTAGTTAAATGCAGAGAGTGTGCATCTCATTAAACTTATTTTGACCTCAAGGTCTTGGGCAAGACATTCAAATACATCATCAAAAATCAAGTAGAGGATCTTTAACCTTTTGAAATGACCAATTAAAATGTAAAAAAGTCACTGAAAATGTCAAAAGAGTTCAGGTTATATTGCTTAATCTAAACAATAATTTATCTAAGTTATCTTTACTTCCTTATTTTAAAACAGATGGCAATCTAGAGAGACAGTAACTATTTCAGGTTGGATTACTCACAGGACTAAAACACTTAAATGACCTTAGCCAACTGACATCTGACTAAATCAGCAGTTTCCATTTGGTACCTACTGTTGTATTTTTATTTAGGCACTTTTTAATAATAGACTTTTGAAAAAGGTCACGCCATGGACATTTAAAAAAAAAATTCTACAGTAAAAATAGAAGAGAAGATGTCAAAAACCACTCACTCTCCTGGTTGCGGACACAGACGCCGTAGAGGAGCACAATGTGTTTATGTGAGACTTGTCGCATCATACTGGCTGTTTCGAAGAAAGCCTGAAAAACAAATATGGACACAATTCAGTAATGAATCAATCAAATCTACAAACCTATAATAAGAGTAAAGTGAATTCTAGGGCTGTACACCTTTAGTCATTTACAGAAATAGACCGATTTATCAGTTGGCCGATATTTACCCTTTTAACGTATCAGATATAGGCCTTAAAGGTGCATTGTGTAACCTTTCCATCAGCTGCATTTCTCCATATTGCTTTGTCTGGAATGTTTCACAGTATCACGGTCAGAATGCCTGGTATTTGCTGCGTTTTTTGGAGCTATAAAACCACCTGTAATTGAATAAATGTAAGGTAGAGATGTTTAATGTCATACTGTGGAACATTCTGGGCAGAACAATGACATATCTGTAGAAACAAGCAGGTGATGGACTATCCCTGATATTTTGTTAGGCCCAACCAGCTGCCCAAATACGTGTGAAAAATATATGCATAACATTTATTAAAACATTTTAGTCCAAAGAGGGAACTGCAAAAATGTGACTAAACTGCAGTAGTCATAAAAAAAGGTTGTGGGTGAGTTTGTACAACGTTTTTTGTAACTAAGCCCTGAAGACGTCCGTGTATGGCTGAAACATGTTGACTATGGCCATTTCAATAAAGGCCTTTTAAATATACTTTTCCTCATGTGGAATTTACTTTTTCTGGCGTCATTGGATTTAGTTTTTCAAAAATTTTTGAAAAAGTACCTAAATCATCTCTACATATCGTCCAGAAATATCGGCAGAAGTCATCGGCCATCAGTTCCTCTGAATTCTAAACAATCAATATCGGTGTTGCCAATGAAACAAATGCATACTGGTCGATTTCTTTAGCTGACTAATTGTTTCCAAAATTTGTATTAATCGAATAATATTTTTATTCAAATATTTATATGGGACAACAGCAGAACAGAGAAGGCATGGAGTGAGTTATCTGAAGATTTTGTGTTCTTTCTTCATGACTCACAAGTTTTTATCTGTCTTTATATAACGGTAAATACTGTAAATAAAACTGCTTCATTGTATAATTTTACAGCATAAATGGTTGTTTTTGCATGAACTCCGATGCAGTAGTAGTCTTGAGAGTGCAATATGGGGTTAGACACAAAGAACTTTTGCCACGCCCCATCAGCCCGTTTTAGTTGACTTTAGACAAGAGTTTCTTTAGTCAACTACTATAGCCCTAATTAACGTAAATTCCAGACTATAAGCCGCTACTTTTTTCTCACACTTTGAACCCTGCAGCTAATAAAAATATGCGGTTAATATATGAACGGATTCTTTGTTTAGGACATTGTTTGACACATTGTCCTTTCATATATACGATCTATGATTTGGCAACACAGCAGATATGCACAGCCTGCATGCAGAAAACGCCACTGTCTGTGCTACACTAGATAGTGACATTGTCAGCGCACTCAAATAGTTTATCGCCGTGTGATAAAATAAGTTATGATGCTAAATTAACATGTGAGGGGGATACATCTTACCCGTATGCATAAATGACGAGAAGAAATGTCTCAAACTTCAGTAGCTGGACATCCACTCATACCTGATTGATAGAACTAGTCCCGCCCCCAAGAGAGTCTGAAATCTGCTAAAATCCTCCAAGACACTGACATGACACCAGATAGGACTTTCAGGACAGTCTCTTACAGGAGACATGCGCAGTAGAGCGTGGGGAGAGACTGGGGTGATGCACTGAGGAAGTTTTGAACAGTTATTTTGTGCTTCATACACATACCCTCTTCATGGAAAACATGAAGAAATGCAGATGATACAGCTTTTAAGTTAAAGGTGATTGATGTGGCTGTCGAACAAGGAAACAGAGCTGCTGCACGTGAGCTCGGCATCAGTGAGTCGATGGTGAGATTTTGGCGATGGCAGCATAATGAACTGACTCAATGCAAAAAGATGACACAAGCTTTGAGGCGATAAAAGCAGGTGGCCCTTGAAAACGTTCTTGAAGACGTGAACACCTGCAGCTTATATTCAGGTGCGGCCTATATATGTACAATTTCATTAAAAATTTTGTTAAAATTTCGTTGATGCGGCTTATATTCAGGTGCGCTCAATAGTCCGGAAAATACGGTAATAATGTGCAATTAATGATGCTGTTTAGACTTTGGAGGATTCAACAGACTGCTTTATTGTTGTTGTTTTTACTAGTTTTAAGGAAAATACATACAATTTTAAATTGTAATTTCTTTGATACTACTTTGCAGGTAGGGTCATCAATGTTCCCTGGGGTGTGATGCTAACTGTAGGCACTGCTCTGTCTGGAACTGTGTTACTCAAGTTAGACATTAATCTGAGCTTTGTTTTAACACTACGTGACCAGAAAGAGCTGATTTAGTGGTGGAGAGTCAACTGGTGACTTGATTTGTGCTGTTACACAAGTCTCCCACACATAAATTAGAAATACAAGTGAACTAGCCTTAACCAACAGTTTTTCAGTTAGTCACTCTCACCACTTTTGTTGAACATCAAACACCTAAACAGTGCAACTAACACTTGTATTCATCACAGGCTCCTGAAAATGTGTTGTTTAAATCCATTTTGTATATTTTAAAATCTCGATCTTAAAAATTTTTGACAGTATTTGCTAATGTGTGCATTGTGCCGCTACATCACAGCAAAGTCCCAATTTAGGTTTTGTTTTATTTGCCATATCGCCAAGCCCTACAAAAAATATTTACTAATATCCTTCTTTAGTGACACTGCATAATAATAAAAGTTTGAAATAACAATTCTTATCTTAAACCTAGAGCCAAACAAATTGATTACATTAAGTTAAAGGTAAACTCACAATAAACAAGTTTAATCTGTCTTTATATAAATACATTGTTTCCTTGTACTTTTTTCTGCATTAATAGTTATTTTTGCATGAACTCCTGTGCAGTTGTTATTGTTGAAGTCTTGTGAGTACAGTTTGGGTCAGAAACACAGAGGTATAGTTTGACAAACTTTTGCCAGGCCCCCTTTTAGTCGACTAATCAATCAGCAGGACATGTCTTTGGAATTAATAATGGAATTGGACTCAAACGTCTACCAGGACTTTTTAAGTAATACTTAATTAGAAACAAAATAAAGCCTGGCTAACCTTTGTGGCTGTCTGTGTTGGTCTTGAGTATTTTTAAACTGTTAATAACACCTTTTACTGAAGCTGAGACAGTGTTTCACGATCTTATATTTTTATGTGTATCTTCTTTCTTTGTTGTTAAAAACATAAAATTCACAGAGCTGCCAACATGTGAAGCTCCTTGCCATATCTATGCCACAGTTTCCATAGTTATCACTTTAAATATTTATGATACTGTGACTCCTCATGTTTACAGAGATACGAGCATCCTGGTTTCTCTGGGGACATGTAAACGTCATATCTAGATTACTGTCATAACCTCCTACATTCTTTTCAAATCCAGAAGGGACTTGAACCAGACCAAAGAGCATGAAAAACCTCCATCCAGATTTGAGATGATCCTTTGGAAGACTTCTCCTAGTGAAAATTCTCTTAATAGTCAGAACAAAACATAAAACTTCTTTTACTTGAGATAAGTAATTGTTTGGTGCCTCTATTGTTGATTCTGATAGAATCCATGCTCAGTCTTGTTTGTATTTTTTTCTCCTTTTTTTGGAGAAGCAGTAGGGATGTAACACTAACCGAAATATCATTACATTGTATCGTCAAAGTTCTCACAATAATATCGTGGACCATCACAATATATCGAATTACAAGTCTCTTTGTTTAAATTAAGAGTTATGGTGCAGCAATAGCTAAAAAAAAGACAGAGACTACATAGACCATGATCCTTTGCTCCATTTCAGTGTAGACTACAAGAAGAATAACAGTTCTGACCACTTTTAAGTCTTAGTTCTTTAAAATAAGTCTTGTCAATGCATTTTAAGAGGAAAAAGTAGCATATTCAGAGTTTTGTTAGCTTCCATAAAGTATCGCAATAAATATCGTACCGTGAGATGTATATCGTGAAAATATCATACAGAGAAATTTGGATACAGTTACATTGTGAGCCTCCCCACCGTATCGAGTGCTTTCCCATGATATTGCAATAAATATCGTACCGTGAGGTTCATACTGTGACGATATTGTATCGTGAGACTTGGATATTGATACACCCCTTGTAAGCAGCCATGTTTTTGACGCAAACAAAGCACGCGTTTCTCTGTTTGGTTAATCCGCCTGTCAATCATGCCCTCTGAAATCAGGGAGCTACTATACGGCTCCAGATCCACTCATCTTTGTGAAGTTCTGTCAAAGCATGTGATTCTGGCTGGTTAGGTAAGTCATAACCGCGATAAGACTCCGGGATACTTGATTACTTGATGATTTGTTTCTATGGAAATGTCATTACTCTGTATGGAATGTTCCACAGTAGGGCACTGAACAGCTCTACCTTACATTTATTCAATTACAGTTGGTTTTATAGCTTAACAATGCTTAAAAAAACAGGCATTCTGACTGTAAGCGTGGGGTCGCCTCTCCACATATCTGAGCTGCAAATTGGTCTGGTTGGGTCTCCATGAAGATAGAAAGGGTTAATAACATAAAGTGAGACAAAGCAAAAACATCCCTGTGGAGAAAAGCCTTTGACAGACCCTCCACCAAAAAAGTTACACAATGCACCCTTAAATCCATGTCTTACCAACTATGTCTATTAAGTCTTATTAAATCTTACCAAAGAGATGTCCCTGTGTCCAGCTCCCAGCACCTTTAGGACCACCTTCATCTCCTGTGGTGAGAAGTACCCTCCCTCTCCATCGTCATCACTCTTCACCTTCAGAGTGCCAGAGTAGATGTTGGTTTTGGTTCCTTGGCCCAAGTGGTCACCCTAGAAATAAAACAAAACAATAAAAAAAGTGTTAACCCTGTAGTTTAGATCTGTACAAAGACTGACATATGACTCTTGAAATGAAGCAAGTGTGAATGCAGCCCGGAAGACATAAATTTAAGGCAGTCACGATTAAAAATTTTGAAGCATGATGTATTGTTGAGACACAATTTCCAAAAGATGAGACGGATTGGGTCCAAGAGAATAAGAAAAGACAAGATTCCTAATACACAATTCCTAATATATACATTTCTCAATTCAATTTCCAGTTGTTTAATTTATTTGATTTCATATTTTTGCTTCCATTGTAGTGCTGCTTTTCAGAACTGTAAGAGATATAACTCATGAACGTGTAACCCTTTTCCATACAATCCAAATGTAAACACTTGAAAAAAAAATCTCATGAGATCCTTTTTGTCACGTGAGCAAGATCTTGTACTATCCCTACTATTGAAATATAGCTGATAAACTTTAATATTGAAACCAAGTATCTATATAATAATATGTACAATTTTATAATTATAAATTAACATAAATAGTTTTGTAGGTTTAGTTTTCTGTTTCATTTTATTCTGAATATTTTATTGCATTTAGAATCTAAAGATTATTCAGTGTACATGTTATTCCACTACTGCTTTTGTACTCTGAATTTGAAGTTGAAATTTCCCCATTACACAAAAAACAAAGGTTCTGTTATATATAGACAAATGATTGGGAAACAGATAAGAAAGTAATGTTGTGGTCATCAATAGGTCAGACGTTTTCCAGACAAATGATTGGGAAACAGATAAGAAACAGATAAGAAAGTAATGTTGTGGTCATCAATGAATAGGTCAGACGTTTTTATCAGCATCTGTGTGAATGAAGAACGCATAAACAAGATGCAAATGCCGTGGCAAAACATGGGTTTGTGTTTTGTCTTTTTGTTGGAGAAGAGATAACACATATTCAAATTTAAAAATGCAAAAAAATGTTGATTCTGTACCTGCTCTAGCTCGTCTTTCAGGATGCGGTGGAAGCTGAGCTGGCTCTCCGGAGGGTGTGGGTTCTGTTGCACCCGGTCTTTGGTGATCACCAGAAGATTAGAGACCTCTGTGAATTAGAAACAATACATACATTACTTACATTTTTTATTAACATTTTTATTATTAATATTATTATCTTGGTTATGGTTATTCTTATTTTATTATTGCATTATTACTTTTCTATTTTTACACTTTTTTTCCACATTTTACAACAATCTTGCTATGGTTATGGTCACATTTTTATCAGGGATTTAACGATACCCAAATCTGACAATGGAATATTTATTGAGATATTTGGAGGCACAACAAACTTGTAAATACGCTACTTTGTCCCCATTAAATTTCTTGACAAGACTTAACCCAAAGAACTACAATTTATTATAATTATTTCTTCATGTAGTCTGCACTGAAAAGCAGCAAAGGAACATGGTCTGTGTAGTTCCTTCTGTCTGTTGCTATTGCTGCACAATAACTATTCATTTAAAGGTGGACAAAGTAACTTTTGTTGGGGGTCTGTTTGTTTTTACGGATATGTCATTGCTCTGCCTGGAATGTCTCACAGTGTGACATTAAACATCTCTAATTTATATTTATTCAGTTACAGGTGGTTTTGAATCTCAAAAATATCTACCAAAGAAAGGCATTCTGACTGTGAGTAGGGTTGCCTCTCCACAGATCTGACCTGTAACTTCTAGTCTAGTTTGGTTTCCATGAAGATTGAAAGGTTTAATGCCATACTGTGAAACACTCCAGACAAAGCAATAACATCTCCATGGAAGCATTTGATTGACTCTCTACAAGAAAAGTTGCACAATGCACCTTTAAGCAAAGAGTAAGTAATTCAAGTTCATATTGTGAGGGCCCACGATATTATTGTGAGACTTTTGACAATATGATATCACGATATTTCGGTTATTGTTACATCCTTAATGCGCTTTTCCACTTCTAATGCACTCAAAGTGTTTTACATCAAGAACCACTCACCCATTCACACACACTAACACACACGTACACCACACAGACAGTGGGGGTGAGGTAGGTTAAGTGTCTTGCCCAAGGACATAATGATAGCATTCATCTGTGGGAGCTGGAATCACACCGCAAACCTGTGGGTCAGTGGATCTGGTGTTGTTGAAAGCAGTTGCTAAATGTTGTAAAACCGTATATAATTAATGGCAATTTAGGCTGCAATTCCCAAACCGCAAAGGCTGCAACTAAAACATTTTTTAGCATATTAAAATATTTTCAGCCTACAACAAAATATCTTAGTCTTAGTAAACAGTTAAGCGTGTAGTTTAAAGGTGCACTGTGAAGCTTTTCTAGTGGAGGGTTCATCAAATGCTTTTCTCCATGGAGATGTTATTGCTTTGTCTGGAATATTTCACAGTATGGCATTAAACCTTTCTATCTTCATGGAGACCAAACCAGACCCAGTTACAGGTCAGATCTGTGGAGAGGCAACCCCGCTCGCAGTCAGAACTTTTCTAGGTATTTTTGAGCTATAAACCCACCTGTAATTAAATGGTAGATCTGTTTAATGTCAGACTGTGGAACATTCTAAGCAGAGCAATAACATCTGACATTCTTGTAAGTTTCTTGTATTAGTTTAGCGCTTCATAAATCATCCTTCTCACAAATGATTATGTTTTTTTAAAGACTATTTTAAATATGCACTACACAAATAATTTAAATTTAAATTAAATTCCACTTAATTTTCATAACACATTTTATAAACAAAATAGATTCCAAAGTGCTGCACAGAGACCATGAAAAGAAAACAACAAAAGGTATAACTGCTAAAATGTGGTGATACTAGTCCTAAAACAATAAAACCAGTAGAAAATCTTGTAACTTTTTGGTTGGGAGCCCATCACCTCCTTGTTGCTATGGAACTGTCATTGCTCTGCTTCGAATGTTCCACTATATGGCATTAAACAACTCTACCTTATAGTTATTCAATTATAGGTCATTTTATAGCTCAAAAATACAGGCATTCTGAATGTGAACGGGGTCGCCTCTCCACAGATCTGACCTGTAATGTAGCCTGTCATTGTTTCCCTTGAGATAGATAGGTTTAATCTCTATTGTGGAACATTCCAGACAAAGCAATAACATTGTTTGCATCGCTGTCTGTTTTTGTATGCCTTCTGTATTTTTATGCTTTTTGTATTGTTCTTTGCGGCTTGTAAAGCACTTTGTAACCTTGTTTTTAAAAGTGCTTTATCAATAAAGATTTATTATTATTATTATTATTCTCTCCGTGAAGAAAAGCATTTGACGGACACTCCACCAGAAAAGTTACACAATGCACCTTTGAATTTGAAATTGTGCACAAATTCAGCTAGGTATGAACCGCATTGTAATTTTGAAGCATAAACTGCAGATCTAACCAAAACTGCAATTGTATTTTTACCAAAATCTTTCAGCCCTACATAAACAGTGACGTCAATGTGGCTGTGAATAGCGAATGAGGCTGCGTTGCCGTATTTATGTGCTCTGTGCGTGTGTGTGTGTGTGTGTTTGTGTGTGGGAGAACATTGTGTACCTACCTATGTACCTATGGGGCCCTGCAGGTTTGTGTTGGCCACAAAACTAAAGCTGTGACAGAACTAGAACGCTGTGGTCTGACAGGGAGAAGGCAGCTACATCATTATATCATATCACCACACAGCGCCATTTGCATTTACAACAAAAACAACACGCCGCCATATAGAACAGCCATTTGCATTTACAACAAAAACAATGCACTCTAATCTTCTCATCTGTGATATAACCATGCTATATTCCCACTTCCTCTTTTGAGATGTAAACAAACAGTAGCTCAGGAACACACACTAAGTCCTATTGTTTTGCATTATTACAAAGGCTAACAGCCCCATAAAGTCATAATTCATAATACAAACAAAATACTAGTCTAGGCTGGAGTCTAGTGTAGTCACAGTATTAAGGAGGTTTGAGGCTGATGCTATACCAAATATATAGATACATAATAATATTCCTTAAAGGTTCTATGTTATGCAAAACTGACTCATGTTACCTCATCAAAAACCTGGTTGTGTTTTGTTTCATTCACACAAGTTTGAGTAATGCTGATTTATTAGTATATGTAGCTCAAAATGCTCTGTTCCAGCGGTATTTTTAGTTTTCGTGGCCGATGCTAGGCCTGTCACAATAACAAATTTACGATATTTTGCTGAAGTAAATCTAGATTATAAACGAAACCACAAAAACTATTCTAAATCTACAATATTGTTCAAAAAAAACAAAAAAACATGAGCTACAATAAATAAATAGCCAAATCAAACACTTTTGTACTTGATTTGCATCTGTAAAGAGTAATACAAGTTATTAATTCAAACTTTTATGGCTTAGATCTTATCATATCGCCAAAACATAAGCAAACAACCAAACAGCTGGTTTAGAATCCAGTAAAACCAATGACCGATAATCTCTACCGATATTTTAGAGCTGATATGTAGGGCTAATTTTGATAATTTTCTTTTGTCATTTAAATTTCTTATGTCATTTAAATTTACAAAATTTACTACAAACCTATAAACGAGCTGTACATCTCTTTGAACTAAAATGTTACATATTCTTTATGCAGCAGGTCAGCGAAAACAAAATATCAGTTTGTGCTGAAAATTTTGCAATAGTTTTCAAGTTAACAGCTACCGTTTGTTTATTAGAGGTTGGAAATTTCAGATGATTCTAGGGAAGGTGTATGGCAGTGTGTGTGTATGTTTAAAAACACAGTGGAGCACACAAGGTCGAATAGTGGTTTCTGTTTGAGAGACCTCAGGCTAAATTTGCAGGGTTCGTGCGTGAAAGTGAATGAAGTGAAACACAACGCCAGGTGTGTTTGTTATGAGGAAACAACATTATAACAGATTAGAAAATATTGGACAGGTGGTGCCGTGTTGGTCATTTTTATAGCTCAAATGAGTATCTTGTTTAAAGTCTAAGTCTAAATCTAAGCAGACTGTCCCTTTCCCTTGACAATACCTGTATAAAACACTATCACATATAAACCTGCCTTCATTATGTAACGTGTGTTGATGAAAACATATTTTGAAAGCTGCACCCACTCGTGCTCAGAGCTCCTCGCTTCCCTGAGAGAGGTAAACAGACCAGCTCTGCTCAGGCTCCGGAAACCCACATTTACAACTCTCTTCCTCCAGACACTGTTTCACAAAGACTCTGAACAGATACTTGCTATAAACACAAGGCTCAACAAGAGTTATCGCATGCAAAAGGAAATCACTATTTGAATGGACATAGTCAGCATTATTCCAAAAGTCGTATTTATTTAGCTAATAAAATGCTGACAAAGTTAGGCTTAAAGGTGCATTGTGTAACTTTTCTGGGGCAGGATCCGTCACCTGCTTGTTTCTATGGAATGTTCCACAGTATGACATTAAACAGCTCTACTTTACATTTATTCAATTGCAGGTCATTCTACGGCTCAAAAATACCCATATAAACAGGTATTTTGACTGTGAGCGGGGTTGCCTCTCCACAGATCTGACCTGTAACTTGGTCTGGTTTGGTCTCAATGAAGATAGAAAGGTTTAATGCCATACTGTGAAATATTTCAGACAAAGCGATAACATCTTCATAAAAGAAAAGTTACACAATGCACCTTTAAGTAAATACAGATGATAAACAAAAATATTGAAAATAGTTTATGACACAGAATTATTTCGTTAAAGGTGCATTGTGTAACTTTTCGGCAGATGGTCCACCACCTGCTTGTCTCAAAGGAGATGGTATTACTTTGTCTGAAATGTTTCAAAGTGCGGCATTAAACTTATCCATCTATAATTCATTCAGTTATTGCTCAAAATGCACACCTACAGTTAGCGGGCCATCCTCTGCACAGATCTGACCAGTATCTTGGTCTGGTGGTATCTCCTGCTTGTTTCCATGGAGATAGTTAAGTTTAATACCACACTGTGACACTTTCCAAGCAAAGCAATTACATCATCATGGAAACAGAAATGTAGGCAGACCCTCCACCAAAAAAGCTACCTCTTTAAGTACATTATTCACCCCAAAATGATTCAA